CATGTAACATGCATGTTTGTTCAGTACACGTGTGCCAGGGCCCCCTTTGTTAATATTCAGATCCTTCTGTTACCTGTTGAATATGGTTTTTTTGTTTGTTTGTTTTTTGAGACGGAGTCTTGCTCTGTTACCCAGGCACCCAGGCTGGAGTGCAAAGGCACAATCTCAGCTCACTGCAGCCTCCACCTCCCAGGTTCCAGCAATTCTCCTGCCTCAGCCTCCCGAGTAGCTGGGATTACAGGCATGTGCCACCACACCTAATTTTTTGTATTTTTAGTAGAGATGGGATTTCATTGTGTTAGCCAGGATGATCTTGATCTCCTGACCTTGTGATCCGCCCACCTCGGCCTCCTAAAGTGCTAGGATTATAGGCATGAGCCACCACATCCAGCTGCCTGTTGAATATGCATGTTTAGCCAACTCTTTAGCATAAAGCTCCTGCTCCAATCCCTCCTCCTTGGAAGTGCCTGTTTCTGGCCTCTGCTCTGCGGGTAGCTATGCTTCCTAGCCTGTCAGCATGGCCACTGTACAGGTTGTAACCCTTTATAAGACATAAAATTTCCAAATTTATAGATCTTGACCAGGCATGGTGGCTCTTGCCTGTAATCCCAGCACTTTGGGAGGCCGAGGCGGGTGTGTCACTTGAAGCCAGGAGTTCAAGACCAGCCTGGCCAACATAGTGAACCCCCATCTTTATTAAAATACAAAAATCAGCCGGGCATGGTGGTGGGTGCCTGTAGTCCCAGATACTCGGGAGGCTGAGGTAGGAGAATCGCTTGAACCTGGGAGGCAGAGGTTGCAGTGAGCCAAGATTATACCACTACACTCCAGCCTGGGCAACAGAGGGAGACTCTGTCTCAAAAGAAAAAAAAAATTTATAGATCTCATGATTTTTTTAATGGATGATTATAATTATTATTTTTTTAAATGTGAAGCAAAAATGTGAACTTTGTTAATTCTGAAGGGAGGATACCTATCTGGGTATATTATTCACTATGTTTCATCTTTTTCAGTTGTAGCTGAAAGTATACTTTTCAAGGGAGGCTACAAATGGGCCATTAATATTAAAAGTCAATTGTGTGTGTCCTTGCTGGGACAATGTTTTCTTTCATGCTATTCAAAGAGAAATACGAGCCAAGAGATTCCTTTGATTTTTTTTTTTTTTGAAACAGTCTTGTTCTGAGCCCAAGCTGGAGTGCAGTGGCACAATCTCAGCTCAGCGCAGCCTCTGCCTCCTGGACTCAAGCGATTGTCCCACCTCAGCCTCCCAAGTAGCTGGGACTACAGGCATGCACCACCACACCTGGCTAACTTTTATATTTTTTGTAGAGAGAGGGTTTCACCATGTTTCCCAGGCTGGTCTCAAACTCCTGGGCTCAAGTGATCCACCTGCCTCAGCCTCTTAAAGTGCTGGGATTACAGGTATGGACCACCAGGCCCAGCCAGACTCCTTTGTTTTATGTTGCTTTTGTCTGTGTAACAGCTTCCTTCCTTCCGTCTGTCCATCCGTCCGTCCTGACGGAGTTTCGCTCTGTTGCTCAGGCTGGAGTACAATGGCGTGATCTCAGCTCACTGCAACCTCCGCCCCACAGTTTCAAGCGATTCTTCCACCTCAGCCTCTGGAGTAGCTGGGATTACAGGCGCCTACCACCACGCCTGTCTAATTTTTTGTATTTTTAGTAGAGACGGGGTTTTGCCATGTTGGCCAAGCTGGTTTCAAACCCCTGACCTCAGGTGATCCACCCGCCTTGGCTTCCCAAAGTGCTAGGATTATTGCACCCAGCCAGCATTCTTTCTTTCGAAACTCAGCAGTTTGCTGGGCTCTGGGCTCATGTGCAGCCCTGTGTGTACCTGTGTGTGTGCCCTGTCTGTGTGTCTTCTCTCCCCTGCAGCAAGGGCTCTCCCTGGGGTTGCCTGACTTGTCTCTATTTTTCCAGCCCTGAACTTGCCACAAGGCAGGTACCTAATACATGTTTAACGAATGACCCTTATACGCTCATGACATGGTTAGGCTTTGTGTCCCCACCCAAATCTTATATCTTGAATTGTAATCCCCATAATCCCCACATGTCAAGGGAGAGACCAGGTGTAGGTAATTGAATCATGGGGGCAGTTTCCCCAATACTGTTCTCATGATGTGCGTTCTCACCAGATCGTAAGGTTTTATAAGGGGCTCTTCGCCCTTTGCTCAGCATTTCTCCCTCCTGCCGCCTTGTGAAGAAGGCGCCTTGCTTCTCCTTAGCCTTCTGCCATGATTGTAAGTTTCCTGAGGCCTCTCCAGCCATGCTGAACTGTGAGTCAGTTAAATCTCTTTCCTTTATAAATTACATAGTCTCGGGCAGTTCTTAATAGCGGTATGAAAACAGATGAATAGACCCAGTTCTCTTTAAATAATGAGCCACTTCAGGGCAGGAACCATGTCTCCTTCCCCCTCTGAGTCCTGCCCTCCTCTAAAACAAGGAATAAGTGTTTGTTGAATGAATAACCAAAGGCCCCCATCTCCAGCCCATCAATGGAAGCAGAACACACACTGTCCTTCCCACTCTACCATGAGCCTCCTGAGGGGCTGGCAGGGTCTGAGGTCTGTTTATCTGCATTTTTATTTTTGAGACGGAGTTTTGCTCTTGTTGCCCAGGCTAGAGTACAATGGTGAGATCTCGGCTCACTGCAACCTCCACCACCTGGGTTCAAGCAATTCTCCTGCCTCAGCCCCCCAAGTAGCTGGGATTACAGGGGCGTGCCACCACACCCGCTAATTTATATATTTTTAGTAGAGACGGGGTTTCTCCTTACTGGTCAGGCTGGTCTCGAACTCCTGACCTCAGACGATCCACCCACTTCGGCCTCCCAAAGTGCTGGGATTACATGCGTGAGCCACTGTGCCTGGCAAATAGCTTTGATTTTTTTCTTTTCTTTTTTATTAGTCCA